TTGCGGCGAAACCGAATTCTACGAACTTCACCTGCGTTTGTTCAGTAGTCGCAATTGGGCAGTGAACAATATATTGAATTGGACTTGGGCAGACAGTACAGATAGGTAGACCGTGGTTCTATAGGAAATTAACACTAAATCGTGAGGAGAATTAAAGAGAGGCTTACGGCTAGATCGAACCTTGGGCAGTTAGCATCACAGGATGGCACACGAAGGGCAGCGTGCTATCGGACAAATTAAGCGGGAAAATTGTTGTTCAGGTCAAATTGGGACAAAATTTCAACAAGTCCAGAAATAAATGTAAACAAATCGTCTATAGAAATAGTTGAGGTAGAGTCAGCTTTGTATAAAATAGAACGGAAGGGTGATGAACTAGCCTGAGGAATAGGGAAACAAATAATTACGTCACGTAATTAACAGGTGTATTTCGCTAAACCTGTTCTACTTCAAATTACGGCAACCTCATTGAACCTATCGAATAAGGACTATTTTGTCCTGATCCAGCTGCCTGTTGAATTAAAACGTCAAACTCCGGATTGAGAGCAGTAACTACTGACAATTTCAACCTAGCAGCACTCCAACGTGGTTTGCTTTCTTCGAGGTATCACGGAAAGCTGAGAATACTCACTTGGACAGTTGATGCCTGTCTATTAGTGACTCTAAAGTTACCGGAATCAGTGACGTTGATCGCCGAATTCAAGTTATGAACAAGCATGGCCACGTGGTCCGTCCATGTTTTGGCAAAACCAAACTTACTGAAGTGTTCTGTCTTAGTTGTACCGGTCAAAGCTGAACAACCAAATTTGAGGCCAGAATATAGCTAGTCTTGAAGAACGACTGATGGCCATTTTCATCCCCAATGAGATTCATTTACACTTTTCACCGTTGGCTACAAAACCACCCGACTCTTGAGCACATTGGAATCTATTTCTTTTCCAAGGGAAGTGTTTCCACACCTGATCGAATTACATTACCAATTCATCTGGGCTAAACCAAGAAATCAATCCGTGAAGATTGTAAATCACTTGATGACTCGGACGTTATAATAGATCCACTGGATTAAGTTAGTTCCTGGCACTGTTATGGGGTAATCGGTTTGCCTGTCTTTCGAAAGCGGACTGATTGTTGTTGAACTACTTCCGAGGGGAGTATCTCTTCGAGGAGGCTCCCAGTTACAGAAAAGTTGCAAAAAAGATTGAAAGGCATGAAACACCAGGCGTACCATGGTGAACTGGTCATAATCTGATAACGTTTCAGCCCTTGTACCTTCAGTTTGCCTTATCGTAGACTGTAGTTTCCGTTAACGTAAACAGAGTTCTTACTGATTTGAACTTAATCAGACAATCTTGGACAGATAAGCTCTCCCTGAAAACTAACTGACGGCTCACCACTGGATTCTTTCGACACATGGCTGATAACCGAAGGACTGAACTACACTCGATGGAACTACATCTAGTGTATCCAGTCACTGCTCTATCACATCATTCACATGATGCACAATTCTCTGTTTCATTTCGGTAGACGACTGCATGACTGGGCGTTGGATTTGAGCCTCCAGGCGGATACTAAAGCCACCACTGTCAGCCCACCGGATGCCACATTAGATAGTTCCTGGGCGGCCGTATCCGATGCAGATTCCGAACAGAAAGTTTCACACATGCGAGGTCAGTGTGCAGTTGCCCTGCGACGAGTGAAAACCCAACTACGAAGAACTAGCTCGCATGATGTTGACGCTTCACGAACGACCTTATGTCCTATCCGTCTTCCTGTTAACGACCAAACATATCCTGAATGTTTGAACAGCATTTGTCAACTCAGTGAGGTCAGTTTTTAGTGTGCCTATAATCCTTATTGAGTAGGTTGTTTATCTCTTTTTCTGTTGCCTCGCACATTCGTAATCATGTATCTAAATCTGAAACTGCAATTTTGGTGCCCTTTTTTCTGCTACTTCATTTCTCTTCCTGACTTGCTTATGATGCTGGGCTCTCGTTGAACCAGTATGCAACCGAGTGGCGACTTGCTTATTATCCAACTTGCTACAGTAAAAAAAACAACGAATTCATCTTTTTCCCATTTCGCAGAACATGAAAACCTACGTGGATTCAATCCCACAGGCTGTGACCAAAAATGATACCGATGCCTTTAGTGATGCTGTGAAGGCAGTGGCACAAGCAACTTGTCAGTTGCTGCAAACAGCCAGTCAAGCGGCCTACCTGGTTGGGGCTGGTCATCCTGCATCGAAACCAGGACATGCTGGTCGACTGGTCACTTCTGACCAGCTTGCAGTGTTGCATGATCATATCGCCGCGGTCCGAAAGGGGGCCAGCGAACTTGGACGGGCTGAGAGTCAGGCCACCCCCGATGGACTGCCTTCGTTGGAGGTGGGTTTCAGTTCCTAGTACTTGCTGTTAGATGCAGAAAATCTACCACCTTCCAACATAGATACTTTCACGTTATCCATTCAGCCTATGGTTGTACTTTCTGCAATCTTAGCTTCACTGGCATGCTGTCACCTCCCAGTAGAGGTGCATTCACCCTTTGGCTGACAAACGAAAACCACTGTTAGTATCCTTCCCTTAGCTATTACAATGCACTAGCTGATCGATTGATTGTATCATTGCAAATGCCGTTACCAAATGACAGGCCATTTTTTTGTATCAGACCGATCGCTGACTGGTTGAAGAGACTGTTCTTTACTGAGCAAATACTGTGGGAAACACTTGTTTTGATCAATTTAGCGTGACCGTTTACTGGAAATCGTTTTGATGAAGCTTTGTACATGTTAGTGAGAATGTTGAAGCTCTCACAGCCCCCAAGCGATTCCATCACCAGTGAACCGTTAGATCATGTGTCGTAATCACTGGTCGGTCCTCCAAACAAATTAGATGGCCAACGTGAGCACCACGTGGGCAACAACTGCGTAAACCTGTAAAGGTAATCAGGTAATCACTCATTTTAGAAGGGCTTGTTGAATAACCGATAGATTTTCCTTGTTTACCAAGCCCTTCCTAAACGATGACCTCTCAGTCGGTTTCAAACTTTTTTCAATTTATTAAAAACAGGCAACTACTCGCTTTATTCCTATGAAAACACTGCACTTGCCCAATTTTTATACTTACCACTGAACTCGTGAAAGTCAAGTTGACAGTTCACTGCAGTAAGGGGTAACAGTTTTCCCACTTGTCAGAATTGTGTAAGAAATGACGCTAACCCAGAGTACAGCCCAAACAGTCAGTATCAGAATCACTACAATAAAAGTAAGCCGTGATAACCTTCCTGTGTGGACCGTTGTACGTTGATGAGGCGTGAGCTGTGCTGACCAGTCCAGCTGGTGTAGAGCTTTCGAGCCTTGTTTTGTGGGGCTGTACAGTGTTCACCTTTGTTTGATGGTAAACCATTCATTTAAATCTAGGAGTCTTCAGGTTTGGAGAGTAATCGGTTGGGATTGTCTATATGATAACCATTCTGTGAAAATTAAAATCCAATGGCCAGAGGACGACTCCACGTAGAATTACTGATCCTCATTGGGTTGACATCGCGAATGACCGAGAATGTTTGTCGGGATTCTTTTGAAGACATACGTATCCCCACTGTTTATATTCTCAATCTTATGCTAAGGATATCAGTTTCCACCAGGGATTTTCTCCATACAAAATACTTTTCGTTTCAATGCATCCAGGCAATGAATATTGCGACTAATGTGGCACAGCGCGCCACCCAATTGTGTCGTTCGACTCGTCCGCTTTTATCCGACTGCAAAAGCGCAGCCGAGAAGAAAACGTTGGCCGAGGTAAGTTCCAATACCATTTGTCTTTGGCTATTACATGCCCGTTGGTTCCTTTGCCTATTTGATTCATCGAGCTTTCATGGTCTATAAAAAGATATCTTTGATGACTTGGAGCTAAGAAAATTGATATTGCTAAGGATCTGACTACAGAATCTCACAAAGTGTGTTCATACAAGCAGTGTTCCCCCATAGAAGTTTTCACTTTCCGCTTACCTTTGATTTAGGTTATACTGTAGACCACAAGCATAAAACTGCCCACATAAACTGCTCGTGGCTCCGACCCATCAGCGTTCACGTCCCACTTTTCTTCTTGGTAGCACCTACTTCCCATTTGTGCGTGTGGTTGCGATTGGGGACAGGCTACATCAGTTCAGATCGGGTGAATAATTTTTGACCTCGTTTTTTCATGATCCATGACAGATACCATTTTGGATTAGGATGATTTTCGACGTTAACTTTCCAACAATCGGATTAACGTTTGTCTAGAAGGACTAGGTGAAAACCGAATGCCAAATGGACGTACCGAATTCACTTTATATCATACACGTCTTCCAGTACCTTTATGTTGGCCTTTCGCTTGCACTCCCTATATGGTAGCTGGGTCACTGAAGCCAACTTGCTGTTGGTTGTGGCCTAACAGTTGGCGTGTTTTTTGGGTCACTTGTTACTTGACTAGTCGACTGGAGCAACAAGTATCAAGTGTCCAAGTCAGCCCAAATCGGTGGCTTACTGGTGATGTCATCACCCACTAGGTTGGTGGATGCGAAGTCCACATGCCGGTCGGATTTTATCTGATTTCGGTAGACATTGGTGTCTATCCTGTTCGGTGAGTGAACGAGGTGTTCTCATTAAAGGGCGAGCTAATGCTCTCACGTTAAATCCCGTGGACAATAGTAAGAGTGGAGTTGTTTCGCAGTCTGTTCAGATGTTGTAACCTGTTTTGGCCCGTCTGTGTAAGATCACGAATCTACCATTTACCCGAGGAAGCCTTAAATTCCAAAATGTGGTCAAAAGTTCCCTCACCACACGACCTATTCTGTATTTAGCTAAGTCAAGACAAAGTAAAACACTCAAAAGCAAGGAGCATATGTTCCAGGCAAAAATGTGGTTTCTTCAACTCTATACTCATTGGAACATTATTTTTTTGTAAATAGGACGAGTGCTGTCTTAAAGCAGAGCTTTACTTTTGCTTATACTTTCATCTATACATGCTGCATTGCCGCGAGTAATATTTCAGAAAAAAACAGAAAGTCAATAACATGAATTCAGCGTATCGCAGTAAGTTTTTCGTGAGACATCCGGAATTTTCGGCCTGTACATTAGTAACACCCACAGCCGAGAGAGGCAAAATATTACCTCCATAGGGTTTCGGAAAACCGGGCCGGTTAGCTTTAACAGCATGTGTGGATTATAATGACCATCTTGATCTGTTTTTTTTATCGAGTTGTCTGCTAAATGAATACCTGTTTCCACTCTGTGTGGATTTCGACCTCATTCAGTCAGGGTTTCAAAATTCTGTGTTTTCTGCATTCCTTCAGAATTAAACAATGTCGCAATTTCCGCCAGTTTTGTGCGCACACAGGTGGTTCACTAATAGCTATAAAACACACCAGTAACCTTAGATCGGTTTACAGCGGCCTCTGATGATCCTGAATGGAATCGCAACAACCCATGTAGCTTGGGTCTTTATTTTTTCCTCGATTACATGATAGACCGAACAGCATGGCTTTTATGGTTTCGTTTGTACTAGGATCTATCTGCTTGGTGTTGCTATTTTTCTGGGAGCTTCTAGCCCCTTTAAAGTTGAAGTGTTTGAACACCAATTTTCTATTCATCCTCCTGGGCAGCATTCTCCTGGTTTGTTTCGAGCAGTTATGTCCAACACTTCTTGGATGTCCTATCCCATCATACATGCATTTGAGTTTGCTGTTCATGACGCATGACCCATTATTTCAATCACGACATTCACTGTGTCGATGCTCCATTTTCCATTGTTTCACTCTCACCTGGATTCGCTTTGTGGCTTGGTTGGTCACAATCCTTCTGACAGCATGCCTTTCGCGAGCGAAAAATAGAACCACTCATCTATTGCTGAAACCTTGGTTTGTGTCTACTGTATGGGTTGGCAGCTACGACTGGGGAGGGAACTATATCAGTGTGCAACTCGAAATCGGTAGGATTCAGCTATGAAACGTAGCTGCGATGCCACTCAAAGGTTGCACAAGGGCTGGGATACTGCCAGGTTGCCCAAGCCTAGATAGGAGGAGGCGAGAGGCAGAGGTCGGGTTCGAACCACGGACCTTCCGGTCAGTAAATTCGCGTTCTAATCACTGAGCCATCGCGCCCCCCAATTGGTAGGGTTTCCGCTTAGTTGTCTTGAAGTCAGACATTCAGCTACATGTTTTGAACACCATACCGAATTTTTCCGTTTGGTAACCGCTAGTCACATGGCGCACAAACGATGGTCTTTTTTGTTTTGTTTCACCACAGACTACTCTTTATTGCCTGAGCCCATTTCAGGTACCCGTTGGTCGCTGCCGTTGCATTCAAATCGGATTCAGTTTATGTCTATAAATTCATCAGGTCACGGAGTACCTGCGTTTTTGTCTGAATCGGACAGCAACACACTAGACTAGACACGCCGTTTCCGGTCATCCATGAGTGTGAGGAGCCCCTCGTTCGAATTTAAAGACTCCCACAGTCTTGTGAAATACTGTTTAGCGCCCCGTGTCTATCGATCGAAGTAGATTTGTGCGACATATTCTTGCACGTGTGTACTAACGTTCATATTAACAACGAAAGTCATTTGGGCCGTAGGGACTCACACACATCGTGCATTAGAATTTTTTGGGCGTGATTTCTGTGCTTTAGCCAGATATTACCACCTGTGACGGTGTCCAGGAAACAAGTCACTGTCGCCAATGGCCAATTTCACCTGTCACCATCATTACCTAAAACAGTACTCTGGTAATGCAACGATTTCAGAGGTCATAAACATCGGTCCGTCGCTACTACTATACGAGTGCGACCCTGAAGAGCGGACGCCGTGTGAAAGATCCCATCATCATGCTTCCTGTATGTGAGCATTTTCGGTATCCTGGATATGAATTACTGCATCCTTTACTGTCCTCGCCATCACCACCTTGTTTTTCCCACTTGATATTAATCCATCGAGTATTCTCACCCCACGTACTATAATATGTAAGTTCAGCAAGTCTGAACCATAGACCTACGCCAAACATTTAGGGCATATATATATTAAAGATATACTGGACAGCATAGGGAAACCAGACGCTGAATGTTTACTCAGTGCCACAACCATGAATACGATCTGAGCTTATAGAATTTTCCAAGGTCAGTGAAGACATTCGGCTACCAAGTCATGGATAATTATTGGAATGTTATTTTGTCCTTGTGTAGTGCTATGAGATTTCAGTCGCATGGGTATCTTAGTTGTGAACAAATTACCGAGTGACTTTCCTTTTAGTAATTTCTTGGATTATCTTTGGTCTGTCCACGTTGCTCTTCAATGGTTGTGTATCACGACGAAGCATTTGCTTGTGACTTGCCTTTCGAAGTTTAACGTAATTACTTTCCATAACTTCTAACGAAATTCTGGCGTCCGAATGAATCTAAGTTAGGATACCACTGAGGTTCTACTCCCACCTGTAAATGAGCACGTGTGTGTATGTTGCGAACGAGGGTTTTTTAGGCCAACCACAAGATAGTCCACAGTTGTGAGCTTGATTGTTCCGGGGATCATTAGCACGGACACTGAGCAGCCGTGTTGTAAAGAGAAAAGAGGTGTGCTGATTTTGCTCAGAACAGTCCCACTGAGGGAACCTTCAACCACCACTCAGGCTTCGCATCTGAAGATGGAGCGAATGATCAGAGTACCTAAAGGTAAGACCGTTCGCTGAGCGCGATATTAAAGCGTCAAACTGATCCTTCTTTTGCGTTGCCCTTGATCGCTTCACATATTGTCGTTTGAAAGGAACTCAAAATTATGATGATTGGTTTTTACTTCTCAGTCCCTTGAACGAGTTGCGCGATGTGCGGCAGTCGTGTTCAAATCCACCCAAGCAGGTAACGAAGCTGAGCCTGACGTAATATTCACTCGACTGAAACAGAGCGCGACACAATTAGAGGAGTCCGTCGATCAGTATGCGGATGTGCTTTTTAGAGCGGCTGGTGGGTCGCCTTGTCAGTTAGCTGAGGAGGCCTTTCAAGTGAGTCGTTATATGTTTTGTGGATAGAACCACTGTTCTCGCCATTAATACCTATAAAGTTCCTGGTTTTAACCTAATTATAGCCTAATTATATTGAATTACAGGGAGGTAAATTGAGTTTCAACTTGGAGGTCTAAGAATGCACGCTTTCCATCACTAGTATAGACTCAGCATCGAATGATCAAACCTTCAGTGCCCCAATTTCACCCATCTAATTGTGGTAACCTTGGTTGTCCTTTCTGTAGATATGATCCAATCAATCAATTTATCAGCTATACACCGTTTTTCTTAGGCAGGTTGGTTCCAGCTACTACAGTTTTGATCACCGGAAAGTGCGAGAGTGTGGGACATACAGCCAAGCTTTGGAGGCGATAGCATGTTTAGTTAGTTAGAGAACAGGTAGCTACGCATTGAAGGCGCCCAAACCATTGGGTGAACAGTTCCACTTGCCACTTACATTTTGCGCATAGGGAGTCCCCACCGACAACACAGCCCAGACAGTAAATTTGGAACCACCGACGGCTTCAGAAATGAACTGATGCGTTTTGTCCCTCAAACGCCACCGATCTGCTGATCTTGACGAACTCCTACCCACTGTGTTCCAAGATGGAGGCAAAATCTTTAACTCACTCGCCCCCATCTGGAATAAGGAGACCGTCGCAAAAACCTGGAATGAATCGATAGTAGAAAGTATACTCTCATTGGATGTGGCAAAAACAGTAATTAGCTTGACCCCTGTTTTAACCAAACTCATTGCGTCGTTGATTTTAAATGAAGACAGGATGCGAGAAGAGTAAGCAGGATTGAGGTTGGGAGTGTCCTGTCTGGATCAACTCTTCATACGCCGTCAAATGTAACAACAATGACAAGCGTATAGGCACCTGACAATCTCGGTGTCCGTTGTCCTCAATATTACGTTCGATTGTGTCGATTGGTTAGTTCTTTTCAATACGCGTGCGCAAGGGACCCTCCCAGACGTTCATGGATATCATGGGCTGTTTGTATTAACATAATTGTGGGCGCGTAAAAGTCTATAGGGAGCGCTTCAAAAACCTTTCTACAAACTGGAGTACGAGCACTGTATCCACTCTCCTTGTTTTTGTGTACTTCTGTTATCCATGACGTAGTAAGACGAAATCTGGAGGGCGTCGGAAACTCCGGCCCCCAAATTTCTCTATGAGAACCCCCTTCAATGTGCAGATGACATCGTTCTTATATTTTAGAAGGAACCACTAACAACCCTAGAAAAGCTGACCAAGGTCATCAAGTCCTTCGGCATTTACTTCGCGTCTACAAAGTGCAAACACATGCTGATGGACGTAGGTCTCTGAACATCCATCCACGTATTGATGGAGGGACAGTGGATACTGAGGGACACTATACGTATCATGAACGGGGTTTTGTTGAAGAAGAGGTTACTTCCATCAAACAATGCATCCAGCAGTGCAAATAAGCTGGCTGGGTCGTGTGTCATGGACCGCCCAGAGATAAATCCTGTTTTCAGTGCCTACTTAGGAGTGGCGGAAACCTAGAAGTGGATAGAGAGGACTACATCACAGACTGATATACACGCACAACTGTCTGATGGCCTTTACGCTGTAACTGAGTTCCCAGACTTCCATTTCGAGTGTTTGGGTTTCTTGCCGAAGTGAACTTCGAATGGTCAGTCTGATGCATTTTCGACTTTAATGCGCAAAACTGTTACTTGGTTTTCCCCGGCAAACTAAAATCGACTTACTACAGCCCATTCGACAGTCGTCAGTATGTGTTCGAATGTAGATAAGTATGGGGGATTTTTCGATGGCGTCAAAATGTTCGGATTATTTCACTGTTCCCGACAGACGCATTTTTGTTGTCAGCATTTCGGTTTTTTTCTGGCCATTCTGCTGTCAAACTACCCGCGTCTGATAGCAACAACCGGTGGAATCGTTGCATGTGAGAACACACTGTCAATCGGTTTGCGGGCTACGCTATTGCGTTCGGATATCCGCGATAATCTCATTCCTGTACTATCTCGCACTGAGCTGATTAATCTGCTTCCAGCTTGTCATCTTTCTTGTCTGGTTGAATGCGTGCCACGTGTTTCTCTTTTTATTCTGGTCATAATCTACCGCACGAGAACTGCATCAGTCGATCAGCAAAGATAACTGGACTGTATATTTTTACCTTAAATCTCAGCTTGTTCTCCCCCCCCAAAAAACATTAGTTTAATATGGAAACACACGTGTAGAGACCAACAACTGAGGAAAGGACAAACGATGCCAAATGCTCATCAAGGTGGAATAATCGCTAGGACAGTCATGACTCGTACATTAGGCACAAGGTGTGAAAGTCAATGGCACGAATGAGCACTAAACGCCATGTACCACGCATAAATGCGTCACTAGTACGCAGAGAGCCCACAATTGCAAGCAAACGCAAGTCAGTCACTGTGGCCGTAGGAAGTCCCAATCCAATAAAAGCCTTGATGGATTGAGGAAAACAGAAATGATCATCGGTCGGTAAGCCGAAATGTCGGTATCACAATCAATCGCATGTAGGGCTGAAATTATGGCGAGCGAATATATTGATCAGTGCCTGCTCCTTCTCATTCCACAATCACTCCGCGCCTGTCCGAGACTTTGTTTACGTCTATCACAGTTGCTTGACGCTCCCAAACAGCGGTTAGGTCAACCTTGATTAAAGACATCGTCCTCAAAGTTGGTGCATCCCAGGGGACGGAGACGTTTCGGGAGTTTATTTGCAATCCGATTATGACGAGCACATCTAGCATCATGCGGTCTACGGCTCCAGCGATCAGCAGGCACCTTATGAAAGCATCCTGGGCGTGAATTTGTCCAGACCTAGGTACGAAACACCCATTTAACGGATCGTATGGCCGACTTCCTCACCTGTAATTGACTCGATAAAACTCCAGTCGGTTTGTAGCACTGCGCGACTTGGCAGTCTATCCATGTGTTTCGGAGCAGAAAGCATCTGTTTCCAATACTTCTGGGCGTCCACAGGTAGGCCTCAGTTGCCTTTGTATAGATCCCTCCATGATTCATCGAGCATAGGAGACGCTGCGTCTTCCCGTATTTGGTTTTATAGGTTCAGGATGGCGATGTTGTTTGCTCAGCGGATCGGCTTTCGGTTAGTCGGCACTCGATGGGCTAGCTGACGACTGCGTCGGGATACAGTTTTCCAGGTGTGTGGAAATGTCTTGAAAGCGTGAGGTTCCAGAAGTAACAGGACCTTCTCCTGTGTCCTGATTACGAACTACAGCCCTCAGGCAAATGCCAGAAGTTCAACACTAGCAACCAAACTGTCATCATGGGATTCCAGGAGTGGTACGGCATAATCCACGGTTTGTTTAAACCAGACGCTATAGTCATCAGCTTCCGACGAGTAGGGCGCTGTGTGACCGCTAATTTGGTCAGAGCCACCAGATGATGATTCGTCCTGTTGTGTTTGCTAGTTAGGCTCCTGTAACCTGCTTTTGACGCTGATAGCCGATCGATCAGGAAAATGCTGATCTAATGTCGTGAACAACATGGTCTGCAAGTCCTAATACGGACATAAATTGTTTGCCAGGAGCAAGAGTGATTGTGACTCTTTTTGGGATCAGCGGGTCCCGGAATTCTTCACTCGACCAAGTTTATCTGCATTATGCTGGGTTAGTGCGTGCCGGCGGTGTTAATTCACGCTAACCGTCGGAAAAGGCGGGAACAATCAGCGCAGGCCGAATGGGCGACGAAATTCGTGCCAACACTTTCATGAACATGAACTCGGCGGTGGGCCGCCAAACCAGCTTTCGTTTTGGAGCACTTGCCACATTCTTCAGACATGAGCCCCACGAGTCTGTCTACTAGTTGGAACTGGTGTGTGGGCGTCAGATGATGCGTATCGTACATTGTCGAAAGTAATCAACACATTGAAACCAAACAAGGTGGTTAGCCTTTTCTGGAGTTGCTGAACTCTTAGCTCACACGGATTGACGCCCAGTCGGCACCACGAGGAGTTGTTTCAGCGCGCCCATGGTTCCAGCGCACGTCTTTGATATCGGTTTGTTCAGTAGATTCCCTGGCTATTTTAGCGAATCATGAGGATTCATTCGACTGCGCGCACGCTCGCTGTTAAAACCGTTCAAATATAAACTCCAGCTACCGTTTTCCTCTTCTGTTGTGACACTGGCTTCGTCTAAACTTTTGTGCCGAATCGTTTTCTTGTTAAGCAACGTATTATCGCCTTGCATAGTACGATGAAAAATATTGAACTGCTTTTCGTTCGCAGTGTAGCGTAAGATAGGCCCCTCACAATCACTAGCAGTTATGATGGTCAAATGATCTACTTCTGGAACTTTCACAATGATTGAAGTTATTTGTCCGACGCGCGTCTGCTCTATTTTGTATCCTGGTGCAACTGATATATTTACAGAAAGGCAGATATATCCACCCCTGTAGGAACCATCAACCATTATTATTACTGCCCATCATCCGTGAGTATTGCTCGGATCGTCTCCATGTCCGAAATTGTCTTCGGGTTGAACATTCGCGTTCTAGTGGCATATTCTTGAAACCTCATTGTGAAATTTTACCCGGATGATACATAATAGCTAATGCGTCTATTTAGGTGTAATTGATTAGGAGTGTGTTGATTATAAAAACAGGTCAGTGCGTAACTTACAACGGATGAACATTTGGGTTAATGCACGAGATAGGTTTTTTCTCGTGCATCAGCCTAAGTTTTTCTGGTTTGACATCTTCTTACGGCAAGAAATTCGTACTGCGTACCGTGTCCCTGAAAGAATGTAAAAGGATCCAAAATACTGCATAGTTTCTGTTTTCTTCAATACAATCGTTTTCAACGATGACGATGATGCCTCTTTCGGGTGCCCCTTTCATTCTTAAGTAGTCTTTTGGCCCGAGGGGATGATTTTTCCCAAGACTGCATTTTTGTTATCTCGACTGTCATGATTATTGCAAGTGAAGCCTTCGTATGTCCTCAATTAGCACGTTATAGGGTAAAGTGATGTGCCACACATTCATATGACTCGATGCCATATAATCATTGACGACTACTGTCACGTTCCATTCTATCCCTTATGCGTGATTGCTGCACATTCCATCCATTGTTCTAATTTCTTACACTCTGAGGCTGAGATGAATTTTCTTAGTACGGTGGTTGCAAGGATAGAAAAGTTATTGGAACGGAACGCTAAATTTGAACAACTCCGTTGTGACTCTTACTACACTCCATAACAAACCAACGTGAGCAAAGTACTTCATCAATGTGCTTATTAGTAAATCATCATCATCATCGTCGCCTTTCCATATTATTCCTTTCCGCTTGGGCTGAAAATCATGAGCCTTGACTGTATGAGTCACACTCATGGTACGTGGCACCAACTGGTGTGCAGTGATATCTTTTTACCACAGTTTCTATAGGCTTATTGGACAGCTACGCTTCTTCTTGACCGATATAATAGCCATCTAACTGAGAAAGTCAAGCGCTGCATGTCAAATGGCGCCACCACACTGACATCAGCGTAGTTTGCCAGCTAACCGACCACTACGAAATAACGTAATACATAGATGTCCTTCACAACTGTCGTATATCTTTGATTCCTCTCTATTCGTTCTTTGCAGTCTCAAATACCTATTTTGGATTCCCATCAAACCATCGCACAAAATAGCTCCGAACTGCTGGAAAGTTCACACGGACTTGTGGGTGTGGATTCGAAGGAATTCGCTAAAGCCAATGATGAATTTTCTGCCACTCGTCAGAGGCTGTATGACTCCGTAGATCAGTTGAAGGGACTGTTGCAGTGAGTTTTCACTTGTCAGCGTTTAACAGTGATTACGAACTACACGTGTATGTATGATCCTCAAATACCGTCCCTACCAACAGCGCACTTTTAAAGCACGATTTCCTCAAAAAATGCGAACAAAATGCCCCATGTTTAAGTCACTACAGCAGAATCATATTTTAGCGCCTCAGAGAGTGAACCCGTTCAAGACTGTCAGACTCCAATGATGTCGGTGTGGCGGATAGATCAGCGTGTAACTAAGCCATCTATATTCCAACCGATATTAGCATGCCTACAAACCGTCGCAAAAATTTATCTGAACGCATCTGGAAATCCTGCGCCATGAGAACCACAGTAGGCACAGATAGTGATGATGCGATCATAAGCCCAGTTACTTTGCCACCGATGATTCCGAGTTGTTTCTGTATCTTCAAATACTCGGTTTCACCCCTTCTAGGTTTATCCTGTATTCCTCTGCCGCCTCTGTAACTTCTCACTCCCAACACCCCACTAAAAAGTACCTATTCATCATAATATTGACTGAAGTCGTAATGTCAAGTGGAATGACCCGCTGCGATGTTTTGTGGTTAATTTATCAGTTAGCTGAAACTAAATCGCCAGTATCAACTTGTACAATCGGTGTGAGGATGTTTGGATACTTTCTATGCAACAAGCACAAGCGAGCTGAGATGGCGGGACTTTAGCATATTTTACAGGTATTCACATCACGCCCTACTTGGTAATGAAGTATCAATTCACCATGAACATCTGAACCTAAATGTACATACTCGCGGTTGGATGATCTTTATTCTAGTGACACGATAGCTACTTAGTTTAAAAATTGAGTTAGCTCGCGAACCTTCTGGTTTAGGCGCCTAATTGTTCAGAACACAAATAAAAGTCTTTCCTGATTCTACTGTCATTTTCAACCAAGAATAATATTTCCGAGTGTTTCTCTGACTGCTACTCTATAAGTTTTTCATTATTTTATTCCGACAGGAAACTAACTCCAGGCATCGACATATGTGCACGAGTACGCACTGATATAGTGACTCTTCTGTCCGAGTTGGACTCCGCTACTTTGGCCATCACTTCAGGAACCGCTGGAGGTAGTGGTAATTCATTTGGATCGAAGCGTGTCGAGACTTCACTTGGACTCATTCGATCTGGCCTACAACAAGTTGAGCAACAATGTATGGATGCGGTGGACAACTGCCTCCACGGGCACTGGGAACTGCTGGCTCATAATATTCGCGAGGCTGGTGCCTACTTGCCAAGTCTTGTCAGGGTTGGTGTTTTCTTTGCTTCAGTAGCTGCTCACTTCTTGTTTTTCCATATTTTTTGCAGCTGAGGAAGAAGCTATTTTTTTATCACTCAAACAGCGACCTCGGAAATCTTTCTCATTCCACTTTTCTGTAACGATTCCCACAATAGTTGACTAATTATAAACTTTGTATGGATAATGATCCACATAGATTCCAGTCGCAAGCATGATAATGAACAAACAAAAACGCCAATTGGCCGGTATAAACTACACTGTTACAGAAGTTTCAAATACTTTACAGGACTGCAACAGTTGATCCGTCGATCCACGAACATTGTAAGTTTCTTCGTACTACCCGATACTTTTAGTGGGCTTGACAACTTCACAGCTCCGAAATTAGCGTTCGATGAAACGCAGCTGCGTGACTCCAAAGTACTTGTGTCACATTTATTGATACGCTTCCGAAAGATCGACCACTCATTCGATCGCTGGTTTTGTACCAAAGATGAATACATTCATTTTTTTCATCAGCTGGATCACTACTTTCACCTCCACGTGCGTTTTGCCATGTCGTCCTGGCAACTGAATTTGTGCCACATTATGGATCGATTATTTTTTAAATGTGGCAGCGTTGTGGCCCGATCGCCATTAAATTGACCATAGAACAACCACCACCGATGTTTGTTTACACACTCCGTTGGCACACTTAGTGAAAGCCACATGGTACAGTCAAGCATAAGTGATTACGTGACAAGGTGGTGGAGTGGAGGGCGCATCTCGGATGATATCAACAATTTTGTCAAATGTCCACATTATACTTCTGTTTCCGGGATTGTCCAAGTTAGGTCATCTTCCACCCAGATACCCACTAAATCCTCTTTCAAGGTGCGGCTTTCAGCTGTCATCATATGGGGGTTCCTTGGGCGCACATTGGTATTAGCTGCAAAAACTTTGCAAGTGGAATGAAACTTTCCACGCCAAATTGTTGCACTTTGTTACGTACGTGCCCAAACCCAAAACCACCCTCATCTACGTTCATATTTTCGCAGCTCACCAACTTCCATTGTCCACTGAGGCAGTGATACCTCTGGTGGAAAAAATTCTGATGGAATACTTTCCTAGCATCACGGGGACCCCGGGATGCCTAGATGAGGCCCAGAAGTGAAGTGTTATTCTAAACTCAATTGCCTGTCTGTTTTAGTCCATCAGGGTCACATCGTAGCTATCGAAAATCCTATTCCTTTATGCGAATACCGAGGACCCATAATTTAAGTCCGGCAACGATATTTCTCCGTACGTTATTCAGTCGTACGACAATGGATTAGCAAAATGGATGTATTTATTCGGCACTGTTGAAGCTCGCCGTCTTGTCCATCGCAATGGACAAGAACGCCCAGTCAAAAACTTAATGGAAACATTAGTCCTTAGCCGCAGAGACGAAAATATGACTGTCTCAGGAAGGAAACTATGTAAATCAAATATGGGTAAGAAAGATAGGATCGCCCACAAGTTAAGTGTTACTGTTGGTGTGTTGTCCAGTACGGTCCGAAAACAAATTGATTTCGCTAGACGTAGACTTAGTGAGACCAGTGTTTTTCTTTTAAGATCCTCAAAACTTCAGCCACTAAGGGCTGTGTTGGGTGTAAAAAACGGAGGACAGAATTCCCCTTGTCCTGGGATACTGTCTAACTGGTCTGAACTCCTCAGTAGTGCTCGGATATTTCCGCTGGATTCATCTAAACAACTGATCCCCGATATTTGGACCATCCATAAAAGCAAATTCAATCGAAAAATAGCCGCGGGATGAAACACACATCTCTGGGCCCACCTTTTAAATAAACGTTGGTGACAAAAATCGTTTCACACTCATCCAGAGTCGCGATGGTTGAACCATCTCTAAAAGGAATTACAGGTACCAGCAAACGGTATTTGGCTGGTTTCGTTAGTTTTCCCCTCATGTGAGAATGGTATCTCAAAAACTAGATGTACTCACGAGCGCTGGTCCGTCTCACTTCCATTACCAACTTAGCATGGTTTATGAAGGGAGAGTGCAATTACTTTGAATAATGGGGTGCACAAAAATGTTTGCATCGCATTCCTTTTTGGTCCTTCTTACTCAGGAATGTGCGCAGTCTGCCACCGGCCTTACTCGCGCTTCGGAGCAAACTGGATTGCTTACCCTTGCACGCACCGTACTGGAAGCGCTTCAACAATTGATTGAGTCTGTCAATGACAACATTCACAACCCATCGGTAGGTCTGCTTATGTTGCTAAATATCCGTCGTCGCGTTGTCGGAACTTGCCTTGTTGCTTATGGACTGGATTGTTGTCTCATAAGTGATTGATTTCATGTTCACCACGTATCCACTCCACTTCCATCGTGCCTTTTCTGCATCTTCCAGTCCTCACAAGACGACTCTCGTTCTCACCTGATGGACTACTCTGTTCGAGTTCGACAGGCCTGCAAAGAACTCCTCTCGTCCGTTGATGCCATGGCAAAAATGCATGGTGGCCTCTCATGGCACATTGATTCAATCAATGCAGCTTGCGCCAAGGTAGGCTACTGACTGCAGTAATTTTCGCTCTCTTTTAGCAAGTCTGTTTATTTCTACCGTAATCCGACTGTGTATTCTAGTCTTGCACATATCTTACTCACAGTACCTATTCGTAGGTGTTCTTGTTTTATTTGTTTCCAGTAGCCACCTCCATTATCCGCGGTGACAATTAGTGATGTACATATGTACACGGTTCACTCAGCTGGGCAGTATACCTTCACTAAGTGATTTGTGATTTTCTCAGGACTTTCCCCTTTATTGTCATCTTGTTTGGAACGTCCGATATTGGGTTTTTCACTCGGTTCGCTCTTATGTCTTGAATTGATCCACATCTGCACTCTGTTAGCCCGAAGAAGTTCACCGCTGTTTCCAGTCCAAATTAGTAAGGTTGATTTTCCTAAAGGAAACTACTCACAACGTTATTGAAAACTCGATAGGACTGATGTTGTGCCTGCTAATCATCCTTGACTCGGATTGCCATCACTCTAATCTGGAGTCTTTTTCCTAAACTATCCACCATCACAAAATCACACTATCTCCAAGTCTGTTCGGCAAGGGAATACAATTTTACCCATTCATTTTAAGCCACGGTTGCAATACTTAAATGTGACATCAGTTAAGGAAAAGCAAACACTGCAGGACAGTCGAGATTTACCGATTTTTTTCATTTCTTTCATTCATCTTCACTTTTTTGCCCTACTGATTCATTTGGCCAGTTTCTGGATACCTTGTTGGTCGGTATAATAACACTGAACTGTAGGTGTGTTTTGCTATGCTATGCTCTCGCATCTCACAGCCTTTCTGTTTCCAACGTTTCGTTTATCATAATTTTAAATGTGCAGTCCTCTGAGCACCCGTTTCTTTCAGCTTCCCGTCGCGCATCACTTTATTCTTTTCATGGGTTAGACAGAACGCGCACAGTTTCTAATGGCAACGGAACGTTTATGCCCGTATGTTTGCTGTACTGTTCTTAGCGAAACCGTTTCCGTATGCTGAGCCCTGTGAAGTCCTCTGTGAAGGCTATGTATCGGGGTCACTGGGTCGCCACTTGTGCTGGTTTTTCTCATATGTTCGCGCGTGACTAACATTGGTATGTATGATAGCTCACCATGTGGTCATGTAGTGCTTGTGGCCCTCGGCCATTCTCGTCTCGTATGCCCCAGAGCAGCAGTGTTTGTTCATACTTTAAAAAGCATGTATTTCAAAATGTGGTGTTTTGGAGACTTGTATTATCCTCTGAACCAGCACTATTTCAGTTTGCACAGTCCATAGACCGTAAGCTAACGGTTGTGAATCATGGTTTATCCGCCGGCTGGCCGTCTGTCAAAGCCAATTACAATCACTGTCTGAACATGGTTTGATGGATACACGGACCCAACGATGGATTATGTCACGGGTGAACTGCCCACGCTTTAAATGCTATGACGTCAGTGTATGCTGGTGGTTGAAGTGTTGCCGAAATGAGTGTGAACCTATGGCCAGTTACTGGTGGTATGACTAATTGTTACTAGTGAGGTGGTAACTTTTGTTTTATTGACGCGTTGCCAACACCAAGGTAAAATCAGATAATAAGTATTTTATATCGGTTGTTGTTACACATGCGCCGAAAGTCCTCGAATTTCCAGTGCAAATGTGAGCATTCTGTGATGGCCTTTCCATAAGGGTACACTGTACGTCACGTTCAAAAACGTCCTTGGAATTCTATCCTCTTCGGGGATTAAAGTTCATCCGACCACGAAGCATCTAGACTTGCTCCCAGGCAATGGACCCATGTAACCCACAACCAAATAAGAAATATGGCTTCGTTTCAGAAAATCCGCGGCCACTCGATAGATTAGTCAGTGTGTCCAATTCACATTGATCCTCATGTACCACACGGAATGTATGCATCGTAGTTCGTGATCGTATGGACCAGTCTAGCTTGCTCATTTTTAACATACTTTCGTTGCTATCAAAATACACCCTTTTGTCATTGTGTCATTTGTTTGGTCTTGGTTTGTTCCGTCAAGTTGAATAGAAAGATGGCTTGTCCACAGCATGCACTCTCACCCTCAACGAAACAGAAACTAGACGGTATCTGATGTGTTGAGGGCACATTCTCGTTAAAAAAGAAATCAAACAATGACCTTCGTTCTAACGAGTTGTACAATGTCTCTAGGTTGCAGAAAGGAATGTGGATGCTACCTAGAATTGGAGAGTGTTACGTTTCCGATATCGTCTTTATACCAGGAAGCTTTTGGTACAGATTGCTTAATCCTGCACATCAGAACGTGGTTCATATTTCTGAACTTATGAACCTCAGACCCACTTGAGGTATATTTGGGTAATAATGAGATAACCTTTTTATGGACGTAATACACTACTCATAAGGTTACTAAAAATTCTTCGACAGTCCACGACCGGTTTCGCCCTCCTGGGGATTATCAGATAGACTCAGTCCTTGATTTTCCGTCAACCTTTTGAGACGGCTGGTCCGGGTTTCCTGTCTCTGTAATGCGTATGAGATGACAGTGGCGATGGCGTCCTTTCTAGGCAGTTGAGAAGGGTAATCTTCTGAACTTCTTGCCGATGCTCTGCGCCAAAATCAACAGCACCAGCTATTGATATCTCGGTTTCTCCCCAGACATTCCTTGTCTATCGATTGCTGAAATTTCACAGGAACTGCAGCTCTCACTTGCCGCTCGGGCCTTTTGTGTGTCGTTTCTATGCAAGTTTACCACACTTTAGGAATCTCGAGTTTGCAGGTATGTCAAGCACACTTCTGAACGGTGAATGAGTGTAGAATACATGAGCCTGCCGATGGCCTAATCGATCACCACTCTAATGAGCCTTAATACATTATTTGCTATCTTGCGTGGGTTGACGATTCATTGGTTGGAACCCCAATGAAACACTTTGCTTGAACACGCACTAGAAAAAGCACACTTAAGTAGGACCTTATTGGCAGTTCGCTTAGAAACTATTTTACATGTTCCCTTATGCCTATTTTGTATTTTGGCTTCTTGCGAGTAACTTTGTTTTTCCAGTTTCCCTGTAGCTTAGAAAAATCGGAACCGGCAACTTGTGTTCTTGGAGGTTTTCTCTTTTGGAGTAGGTCTTTTTGGAAGGCACTGTTAGTGCAAGGCCTGCAAGATCTACAAAAAAACCTTATAACTGCAGAACAAAGTCTCTATTCTACGTGACTGTGAGCACTAGCGATCTTTGCACGAACTTTTTCGTCTGGCGTTGGTCACGAAGACATGCCTCAGGCGAGGTCAGAGTCCTAATAAGTCCGAAAGGATTCTAGATCTTGCTTAAATAGATCGAATTTACGAATTCAATGGGAAAAAAATTTGTGAAATTTGAGGCGGTTGGTTAGGTGGTTTTCCTCTAATGTTCGGATCCTCACGCTGTAGCTGGCAGCTTTGTATCTCTACGTAGACCCGCCCGTCATGGGGACTTTTGCATGGATGCGTTGCGCTGCTATCGATTAAAGAGCACTTTGTCATGTCCAATGTGAAACATCCAATTCATTTTGGGCCCGATTTGTCCGTATCAATCTCTGGCACATTAGGAAAGTTTTGCGAAGAGTTGATTGGTGGCCCTGATAGCCTCCAACTGTTGATTCACTGGTTTGATGATTGGAGAGTCTCTATTGGAGAGAGTCTATACCACGCACGGGCTGAGTGCGTGGTATCTCGGCAAGTGGACCATTTGCCTCTCAAGGGGGAATTACTGGATGTGACTTCTTTTGCATATCGTGTATCTGGAATTCCAAACAAGGGACATCGCTTCGCTCTTCCAATTGACGTCTATGCTCACATCTTTTCAGTGCAAGTTTAGAGAATGTTTCTCAACAAATGGCACATTGCCCCATAGACATCCGGAATGCCTACGAAGTTCGAATACATTTTTTTAGTTCGGCTCCAGTTTATTATTTACATCGCTTCTTTATTCTCCTCACATTCTCCGTTTCAGCTGGACGACGTAACACCGGTTACAGTGAATGGGACTTCTAAGAACACATCCGATCAAGCCGTAGTTCCCCTTCCCGTTAGTTTTGTGCAGGACCATGCTCGTTTAGGTCATCAGTCTCGGGCATTGGCCGAAGCAGCAGTTCGTTTGACTCAAGTTGCTGCAACCAGTGACAGTTTTCGTGGTGACGATATGTCAGCTGTTTCGCAATCCGTTGCCACATTCGCTAAATTGTTTATCCAGATGGCGGAAACCGTACAGTCAATCGCTTCTGTCCTCTTCCAGCAAACCGAGGCTGAAGCTGGTTCAGCGCTGGCCCGTCGTCTTTGTCAAATCACTCAGGTGAGCGCTCTGTCCTCTTTTTTGTCCAACCTTTTGTTACTGGCCTCCTGTTATCTTTCTGTGTTATCGCTGCATATTTCCGCACTTACTCTGCCCACTATCGTCCTCCCTGTCCACATAAATAAGGTTCCCTATGTTTGCTGCTAGGATCAGAATTCATTAATGGGTCCAATTAGTGTTCGATTCATCGGTGTACACCCTGTTTTCATCCATATGTTGTTTTAGCTTCAAAATAAGCGAATAGGCCAACTGTAGTTAGGTTAATGTGTTGTGATGCAGATATTCATCTGTGACCTTCCGGACTGTAAATGGAGTTCGCTTTTGATTTCGACCTAGTATTGTCCATCATCCAAAGATAGGTAGTCGATTGTTCTTTGTCAACATTTCAATTTGTGATTTTGAGAGCATTTTCTGTGCTTTCACATTTAGTCTCTTGGTGCGGCATCGGCGGACTTTATCCGTTCCCCCCTGCGTACCGAACAGTCCAAGTTGTTCAGTTTCAAACTAGACGAACTCAAGTCTGCCCTGCAATCATGTGCCCGTGGAGCGGACGCATGCGGCACTGCTGCTACCAATATGGGACGCCTTGTTGCAGATCTGGATACGGCTGCCCTTTTCGCTCGCGCGGGCACTCTCGTTGACCCGGAAAGCGCCTCGTCACCATCACCTTACAGCCCCACCGCTGCAAAATATGCTACGATTGCAACGAAACAGTGTGCCTTCCAGTCTGCAAAGGAAGCTGTGATGCAAGCAACCAAGGGTGTTGTCGAAGATATGCAAACACTTGTAAGTATTCACACTCCTCAGGGACACTGATAAGGCTGACCTACAGAAGTCGTATTAAAAATTGGTGGACAACTTCCGTCTGGTTACATTTTCGTTGTCGAATTGTCTCGGATGCTGTCAAGTCCAAAGATGGCTTTCTTAACGTTTGATACATGGCTTCATCACAGACAAGCTATTCTGTTCCTGTCGCTCAATTTTATTCTTCTACTAATCAGAATTAAGGAAAGGATTCACAAAAATTACGTTGAAGTTTCGCCAAACACGGTCAAAGATGAAACGAAAAAGGCCTGGTCATCAGACATTTTAATTTGTTCTTTCTTCTGTTACTTACTCCTTTCTTATTTAATGTCGCTGTCGTCCTGTTGTATTGAACAGTGTGAATGGTGTGGGTTCCGTTTCCGCAATCGATCCACCACATCAAGGCGTGTGGCAAAACCTTACCAAATTCAGCTTAGTCTATCCTCACATCACTTCCAGATTATCATGTAATTGAGATGCTGCATCGACCATACGTCACCCGTAGCTAACTAGATAAACCGTTTTTCCAACTGAACCTTTTCTCCTATTCCTTTGTCACACTTAACTTAGTCACTGATGCCTTATAACTATAACACAGACATAAAAAAACTGACAGTAAATATGCACCGATCTACCTTATTCTCGTTGCTGAATCTGACCATAACATTGACATCAGCTCGACTCCACGACATTTTTGGACATTACTAACCACAATATATTGCCTTCTGACTTAAATTACAGTAGCATCCTGTACTAGGGTTATTCGGCTTCAGGAATGGGCTTACACACGTTTATTGATCCTAATATCACACTTCGCCATTTCAAGGTCGAAGTGATGAAAATATAAATCTGGACACTGAGTTCTTAGCCTTCGAGTGAGGGGTCGGTTTTTGATAAGCTTTCCTGAGTACCAATAACAGAATGAATCTAATTTTTTTATGCATCAACGTCAGTCTACACAAAATCTGACTGACTCTTCAGACTTTCGGTTTGTTTCACTTTTTGTACAGAGGAAACTTGTGGAGGCTTGTTAGCTGTACACTATTCGCCTCCTGAGTTTCTCGTTTTATTTATTGTATCACATTAAACTAATTTAGTATCACTCAGGTGATGGTTATTTAAAGTTGCTCCATTGTCTCATTATTAATTATCACAGATAGCAAATTCTGCTGGTAATCAGGATGCGCTGTCTGTATCGGCTCAGAACTGCCTACTACGCGCCACAGAACTTACTGAGGCCGTGAAGAGTGCTGCTTCGAGGGCTGCTAATGTCCCTATAGCTCCGGACATCACCAACGATGCATGTGTGGAAAGTCAAGTGCAGCTTCTCAGTTGCGCGCGCGATGTGGCCAAGTCACTTGTCCAGTTGCTTACTCAGGCAAAGGCAGTAACTGCCACCACCTACGCTATGGAGGCGTGGGGCGATACGAACGAGAACGCGAAACTTTCCCCTCTACTCAAATCTCACCAGAAGGCGCTTAACGAAACTGCCGTTAGTGTGGTTGAGAATATCTCGGCCCTAACACGTTCCATTCGGGCTTTGAGTGACCAGCTCAATTTGGATAAGCCGTCCACCTCCCCTCTACCTGCTACTACCAGTCCCACAACACCAACTCCGCCAACCTTACCTCCAAAGCGCGTCAGTCTTTCGAAAATTCCCGCTGGCGACCGGCTTCCTCTCAAAGAGAATGGTGGTGGTGGTGAAAAGTCCAATGTCCATGCTTGTTTGCAGTCAGTTATCGGAGTCTTTACGCAGTTTGAAAAACGTTTAGCCTCCTGGTCCATTGAACGCTGTTCGCTCAAGCGCCCAGGTTTGTTTAAACAGCTTATAAATGGACTTTTCACTAGATCGGCTTTACTTTTGTAAGTAAACTCAAAGAGAATGTGGTGGTGGTGAAAAGTCCAATGTCCATGCTTGTTTGCAGTCAGTTATCGGAGTCTTTACGCAGTTTGAAAAACGTTTAGCCTCCTGGTCCATTGAACGCTGTTCGCTCAAGCGCCCAGGTTTGTTTAAACAGCTTATAAATGGACTTTTCACTAGATCGGCTTTACTTTTGTAAGTAAACTTGTGATTTTTAGATCATTTACGTGTTCCATTTCGAAAACGGTTTTGATTGCCAGTGGAAGCTGATCATAACCCTATGGGTTATATTGTGCGAATGATTTATTCCAAAGCTAAGCTGGCTGACCGCCTCGAAATTTCCTCTAAATAATCCATGTACTCTGTGGATATTGCGACTCAGATATGTTTGCAAAGCTTCAGGTTATTCACGGAAAATTGCATTGGAAGTTGTTATGTCCACGAAACTTTCATGCGGATGTATCCCGCAACGTAAGTATATGTAGCACGTTTCACAAAGGTAAGGGGACTACAGCGGTTGCGTTCCCTTACAGTTTCGTTCTGTTTCTGGTTCATTTCCGGTGTCCTTGGGACGCCTAACCGAGATGCCACCCGTTGAAAGCGTGAGAGCGTAGTAGCTACCAGGAGACAAGATCCTAGGCCAGGGAAATGGTTATTTCCGTATTGAATTCGACTTACAGACTCTTCTCTGACTCTTTTGCGCTCACCTCAACTACTTGGATTATCTTCCCATACAGACTGTGTATGACTTTGTCAGATCAATGGAATTATCATTTATCTGTAGAACCAACACAGTGATTGAGTAGGACGTCAACCCCTGTGCTCCTTTTATCTTCGATATTCCGTCCATTGTGTAGCTAAGAGGTACTGACTCACTGAGTTGCTGAATGAAAGGTGGTATTGGAGCAACGGACTGTTTGTAACGGAGCCATATGCAACCAATAGACAGATATGACAGTTATCCCCGTCGATAGCCCGATAGAATTTCATCTTTGACCCTTGACGACCACCTGTTGACCTAAATCAAAACAAATGGAAATTTGACGCGTTGTTTTACATGGAGTAGTTAGTGTTTTCTTAAAACGGAGGACATAAACAAACTTTGTTTTCCAAAGTCTCGTTGGAACTCGCGGGTTCCAAATCGTGCCCTTGTAACGCCGTTTCGATCTCTATCAACCAATTTCGCGTGTTGAAACGAGCTGTCAGCCAGCGAGTTACATCCTACTGCTTTTTCTTTGTTTCTGCAATAGTAACCGATTATGACTACGAATCTGAGGAGGAGAATGCTCTCGGTCGAACAACCAAACCACAGCAACTCATCGCAGTGAGTCGGGAAATCAATCAGACTGCTATTAAGGCCAGCGCTGCAGCCAGTTCAGGCAAGCTGTCGGAAATCGCCTCAGTGGGTCATCTGCTTCGCCGTACAGCCGAAGACTTGATGCGAACCCTCCCTTCAGCCTGTCAGTCGGCCCTCACCTCGATTCAAAACATCCGAGGTCCTGACACTGACGGTGATGAAAGATCCACGGTCAATGGAGACAGTGACACCGGGATTGATGAAGATGGTGAAATGACCGTATCTAGTGTCGAGCGAGCATGTCGCCGGGCTATCGAGGGCACACAGAACACTATTTCCGAGATGAAACAATTGACTGAGCACATGGAGACGGTAGGTCGAGGACTCAATTAACTAATGGCTAGCCACCTGTAGTTGAATTTTGAAGAACGCATTTTCAAGGCAGCTAAATAGAGTGCACCTCGTCGTGAGATTTTACTGAGTCGTAATCAGTAAATCGTTGTTCCATTCCCGCTACGGCTCGTCAGCGCTGCGTTCATCATCGTTTGAACCATTGGAAACAGGGTCTGTATGACCATAAAGCTTCGCTTATACATGTTTAATCAGTTTGACTAATAAACCCCTCTGGGTGGACATATCCGGACCCGACAAACCACCGGTTTACGGCTTAGTGACGCAGCCAGCAGTGCATTTGTATCAGAACCGTTGCCTTCAATGCGTAGCTGTCAAAGCTTTCACTCCGTTGGATAATGAAAATGATTGGACATAACTTGAACAGTCAGGTTATCGCACCTTATGCCTGCCTACTCTTTCCTATTGCTATTTGAGAGAACCTGTAATAGTGAGGCTAGCGTATTCCAGTGAATGAGTGAAACGAAACGAGCTAAAGGCACAAGAAATGGATTATACTTAACGGCACTCAGTTAGGTGTTTTCATTTTGTAAGAAAAGGGTAGAATTAAACCCGCCGTATCTGAAAGAGATTGAGCTATCATTATTCGTTTTTTTGGGTGGTTGACATGATTCACTCTCTCATAGCCGCACTCTATAGAAACATTTTGTCTCGATCTCGACTCTAAGATTTGGCGGTTTGCTGCCACCCACCCTTTGGTTACTATCTTATGACCATATTTCTTGCCGGAAAGTTGTAAAGTCTGGTCTGGGAAGTTAAGCTCAAAATGTCACGGATCATTCGTAGTTTCAACTGTAGTTTCCAGTCTGACTCCACCTCTGATCGACCACAATGTCCACATCTCAACCGTTTAATGATGCCTCCGTCATTTTTCGGTATGCGAATTGGTTAGACAGTCGTACACAACATGTAGCTTTGCGCTTTTTAGGTCCAGACGTGCTGTGGTTCTCAGGACGTCAATCCAATCGACATTTCACTCTCGTTATCTTGATTTCGCTCGAGTCTGATCGAAGCTACAGTTTGGAAAAAATAGGTCAGGTAAATAAAACTGTTGGGATTACTGTCAGCTAAAAAGAATTCCCGTGCTACCGACATGGACGTCAGAAGGACATGCATTCGTGAATCTCAGTGCTATCTTTTTCAATTATCGTTTGCATCTATCATTTACAGTTGGAGTATCTTGTTCTATTAGGTTTGATGTCATGAGACACGGTACCTCAGCTGCCTGGATGTTCAGTTTTTCACTACTGCATAGCCTACTTCTTAGGCATCTTGTTTTATTTTGGATGTCAATTTTATAGAGTTTGGACACCGGTGCTTCCAGTCCTGCCAGTGTTCAAGTAACTCTGGCTATGCGTCGTCTGCGTGAAACGGTAAACGAAATCGTGGAGGCTGCGATGAAATTCCCCGGCGGAAAAGATACTTCAGGTGAGCTGCCCAGCGTTCTATTGAGAAGTAGTTCTTGTTGGTAGTCGGTGATCTCGAGGATACTGTTTCCGTCAAGTTCCCCCTGTAGATCTCCAGGAGCTTGCATTTATGTAACCATGTCGGCATACTTCTAATGCGTCGCTATTTACTCTTCATTTCCTTGGTGAATTGTATTGCTGATTAGATGAGTCAACGAATGACCATCCTAACAGAATCGGACAGACGTATCAGCCGTATTCGATCAGTTTTTGGAGTCCGTATTCAGTCGATTCCAACAATCGCGTCATGTTCCCTTATAGCTCTTTGCAGGTCACTTCGGTCCTTCCTAATGACTTCACAGTGACCTGAAGTTAGCTTCACATTCAAGAGGTGACATTGCTCATTAGCTTGGCGTAGATGTGTAGGGTTTGGTTGTTTTGTTTAACTTGAGGCCCACAACCAATCATGTTCGCATCCAGTTAATTCTCTGCGAAAAGGTTAGGTACTAGGAAGGCTTGTTTTCTCATTTTGGTTTTTCACCGTTTTTATCGGTAAATTGTTCCTACGGCCAGCTCCATGTCCAATACTATGCGACATAGGACCAGTTCTAGGACACCACTGACTATGTGGCAAGTATATGAAGCCGACTCAATATGCAGTCCGTCTTCGTTGGACCTAGTCCTCTCCTCTGTACTGTCGTTGTCGGACTGGTGCGATGGTAAGAGAAATTCCAATAGTCTAACCACACATCGTACCTTTCATGCTTATTTTACATACACACACCTGGTGTGTTGATATCGGATATACCTATGTACTTATGTGCTGACTCTATTTCCACAACGTTCCATCAATTCTACCCGTTTCGCTCTTCTCATTGCACCGGAGTTGAGGCTGAGTCATTCGTGGCATTTTTTGCAACAAATGTATTCGTGTGGGCGGTTTACTCATCGAGGCGATGGTCATCCAAGGGTTTGGATAGCCGCTGGCTGAGTCATCTTGATTCATTACTGTGCCATCGGTCTGTGTGAGCCATAGATATTGGAATGTCACGTTGGGTTATTTGGCTTTTGAAAAGCTGGTGGCTGATGTGTTAGCCAAGATTGGAAAGTTTTCCACCATTCGGGAAGAGATCGTCAGTGCCACTTAACAAACCCAGGCTAATATTCTGACATATCGCTGCGTTTAGTCTGAAAACGAAGTTCTATTTATTCTTCCAACTCATATTTGGAGGGCAGATATCGCAGGTCGTATTTTTGTACACCTGAATCATGGGGTTCGTTGTCCTCCATTCACACGTTGAGGTGTTCTTAGTCTTTTATCCTTGTTAAGCTACTTCTTCTGAGGAGGTCTGTAACATCAGAGTCAGTAAACTCAGTATGGACACCGATGCTTCACCACCGTACAAACGCATAATTTATTCGATAATGTTTAAAGCCTTGGTGTGAAAAAAAGTTGGATGAGGAAGAGATCTTAGGTGCGTTCACCTTCAAACACTCAAACAATCTGGGATGAGCACGAGCGTCACTGGCATCGGTTAGCCACCGTTTCTTACAACGTCTTTCGCCGTGTGCGAGGATGATCACGGGGACACCCATCCCGGAAGAAAGATCACACCAACAACATCCGAACCCTCTCGTTATATCCTTCGCATCCTTCTGCTAGATCGGCTCCGAATTTGCGCTATTCTGAAAGCAGTATGAAGGACAGCACGTCTAAGAGATGATGATTCGGCGTGCGCAACACATAGCGGAGCAACCGCAGTCAGTTGTTCATGGTGTTTTCCACAACCTATGTACCCGCTGCACAAGCGAACGAATTGCATGGAACGGCTTTTTGTTTGGATATTTATTCATTTGCTCGGCTGATTTATTTAACATTGTATTCGGAAACCGGTGTTTCCACTGTCCACCGCTTCAAAACCTTTTCCGATCAAATAGCTCTATGTCAGCTTGTGTTAACCTGATATTGACTGCTTGTTTATATGGCGTGTTTGTGGGTTGCCTGTCAAACAAAGCTTGTTTTCAAAGGGAGTGTAACGAAAAGCTGCGTTTTTGCATACCAGTTAACAACCAATCTTTTGGTACACGAAATTCATGTGGTACTCAAAACACCGAGTATATTAGCGCGGTATCAGAAATTCCGTCAGGAAATCCGGAGCCTTTGCTCGTGAAGTTTGGCATGGACAAGAACCTGTCTCTGCAGGGATCACTTTATAAAACTGACTACTTATAGCCTATTTTCTAGATCTTTCTCTCTAGGTTACTTTGTAAGTGACAGTTCGCCAGCCTTTCACTGTTCTCGCGATATCATCATTATCACGGGCAGCATAACATCAACACTGATGCTTTGTTGCCGTACAACCATGATTTACTTGAAAACCATACTGTAAAGGGAAGATAAACATGGACAGGGAAGGGACGTATCGCTGGCTTAGTACACCCATTTCGAGGTGCCTAGACTTTCATCCAGGCAATCTGGATGACAAAAACGCCATTGACATTAATTAACAACCATATATTGCAGCATCTCCAACCAGGCGCGATAAGAATCACGCGTCCCCATCCTGGTTGGCGAGCAGCATCGACAGCACCCAAACGTTTCGTAATCTCTTTCATACTCCTCTGCCGGGTCAAAGGTTGGCCCTCTCTCTGCTTCCTTCGCTCTGAATTGGGTGCGGAAAACAGCACCCTCTTCGGCACACGCTGGTTCGGTATACGTAACACAAGTCCCAACCAACGCAGATTCTCTTGCTAGACACATTCTTTGTAATTGCCTTGTTACGAATAGGTCGACACAAACCCAAACGAGCTGTGGTCCTGAAACAGAGATTGTCAAGCACCTGTAGATGTCTCAGTTTCGCTGCCTGAACAGGTCAATTCACACAGCCATACAACAAAACAGTCCATACTTTAGCCAGATATACACGTCCCTCGCTATTAAGGAATATACCGCTTTGACGCCACAGGTTTCTCAAATTAGCAAACGCTACCCGAGCCTGTCTCACGGATCATCTGAAATAATCTTTGGGTATTACCAGCTTTCTTGGCCTCTTTCATCTCCTTGGGTTTCCGTGTCCACATGTCTTCACGGTCGGCTCGCACGTTCACTTTCACTTGACGTCTGATCAAACAGACATTATTCAACTTCCTCATCGTGAGGCTCCTTCACAGACTTTACCAGTTGAACTCCACAGAGACTACTATCACCGGTTATCTAGTCAGGCAAGCATCTTTCCGCTGTGTGACTTATAACGATACCAAACCCTACACATCCTACCGCAGCAGCCTCCGGATCCCCAGAGATGAGCAGCCGGAAGCGAGTGGAGAGCGATGGGGCGGTTACCTCAATTACTCTTCTTACATTGTGAATTATTGTTTCTGATATACAGCATACATCAACTCCAAGGGAGTCCTGTGTGGAAGCCAGAGCAGCTTGTTGTCCTGTTTGCTCAGGAGGACGGACATTGAACGTGGCCAGAGAGACTGGACGTCAAGGCTCGCAGATCAATTTCGAGGTACCTGAGTTTGTCAACACCGGAAGCCGCGCAGATTTTGCTTTCAAAGCCGACGCAGGATAAACGAAGTCGTCAGTCCTAATTACTGGGCCCACAAGGGGAGAGTTATTGATAAGAAGGGTAGAGGGGAAAGAAAACGTACGTGAAATATAATGAAGGGAGGCGTAAGGAGCAGTCTGTTTTCGCTTACCCGCCCTGCTGTATGCTGCAAGTAAGGCGACCCGGCCAACTGTGTTGTTCAGACCTCTAACAATTGATCAAACTGGTATGAGGGACTCTGCGAGTGTCGTGCGGACATCCCCGATTGTGGTTCAGTGGGTTGCCGAGGTGCACAAACCGTTACACCACGGTAAGATCCAGTCTCATCTTGACGGAGTGTCGAACTGGCACCTGATGATATGCGTGTGGTCTCGCTTGTCTACCACTGGTGTCATCGTTTTTAGGCTGTCCCACCGTAATATACAGCATGACATTGAACCCTCGGTTGCGTTAGGCGTCCTAGCATTGACATTAGTTGGCGGTGTGTATGTGGGAATCCCAGTCCTGACCCATGATAAAGATGTTTTTTGAAGTGATGGAATATTCGGGAACCGTGTTCCGGAATATTTAGAATTGCAGTTTGGTAGCTTCTTGCTGGTTGCTGGACCCTCCAAATTTCTTTTCCATCGATCTTTTGCTTGTCGTGTCCTCAAAAACCTCTCATTGTGTGAATTCCTTGGAAGCTTTTACTTCTGGGCAGCTGACTTAGTCGGTATGGCTGATCAGACGATTATTCTTAGAGTTCAATTTTGAGGAAGTGAGTATCCACTCGTGTGCTTGTTAACTGATAGCCTTTCATCTATCGTTTTTCAGTCACTGCCTCCTTGACACACCTCAACCAATTACACTCAGTTTATTTCCGTTGGAAAATGTCAGTTGGAACTGCGCATGTCCGTGTCTAGTTACTGACATTTTGTAAGTAGGTAGATAACTCACTAGAAGATGAACAGTCGTTTTCCCTATTTATGAAGCATTTCTGGTGGTTGGACCGGGTTTCTCTCAAGTTGTCGCATTGAGCACTTGTCGTCGATGTATTAGAAGCCCAGTTTAATCATGAGGGTATCCCCTTGTGGTTGGTCTGAAATCACGCGTGTACGTATTTCCAGTTATCAGACGAAGACGCATGACATTTTCCGAAGATGAACAGCCGTTTTCCCTATTTATGAAGCATTTCTGGTGGTTGGACCGGGTTTCTCTCAAGTTGTCGCATTGAGCACTTGTCGTCGATGTATTAGAAGCCCAGTTTAATCATGAGGGTATCCCCTTGTGGTTGGTCTGAAATCACGCGTGTACGTATTTCCAGTTATCAGACGAAGACGCATGACATTTTCCTGTACGTCCTTCTCTTGATAAACGTCCACAGTACCATTCTTGGAACTTCACACTTTCAGAACCAGTTCTTAAGCCTGTCAAGAGTAAGTATATCCTTGCATCGTGGCTGGATATTCCTCGGTTTTTCTAATCCATT